CGCGGGGGCTGCGCTGCCAGTCGGACCGTGGCCCCCGTCACTTCTCCCCAGTGACGCCGGGGTCGCGGGCCCGGCGCTGCCGGGAGCAGCTCGCAGCAGGGCAGCGGCCTGAGCGAGCCGGGCTGGCGCAGCGCAGCCTTCCTGCCCCGCAGCCGCGCCCTGCAGTGAGACGACATCAGGGGACCTCAGACCCTGCCGCCGCCTAAATGTGGCCCACAGAGCTCCTTACTGGTCCAGAAAGCTGGTGGTGGGAGAGTGGTAGTCAGTAATCCAGCCTCCTCCTCTCCTCCCCAGCCCCCACAATTCCCAAAACCTAAGCCCATGCAACCTGTTAGAGCCTGACTGTCACCATCCCCCTACCCCTGCCATGAGCTGGGCCACCCTGGCTTCCTCCTCCTTTCCCACCTCTGCCCCCCCACTTATGGATCAGAGCCTGGCCACACCCCTCCTTTCCCATCTCCAGGTTGGGGCTGGGCCACCCTCCCTTCCCCTGTAGGGCCATGTTTGCCCTGACCTAACCCCACCCCACTCCCTTCTGTGCAGCTATCTGGTGATCAGGACCACTGGCTGGATCTGGCCTACAAGTGGACCCAACCAATCCACAGAAAAAAGGTCGAGCACCACTGGGTTAAATTACTGGTAAATTGGAACCCCCCTGCTTGCCTGCTTCAGATGTTTCCCAGGATACTAGTTTAGAACAGCTATAATTGACTGAGTTAGATGATTGGTGTTAGACCTGTTTACTACAAAGATGTCATAGATTCATAGATGTAGGGTCAGAAGGGACCTTGCAGATCTTCTAGTCTGACCCCCTGCCCCGGGCAGGAGAGAGAACTGGGCTCAGATGACCCCAGCTAGGTAATCGTGCATCCTCCTCTTAAAGACCCCCAAGGCAGGAGCCAGCACCACTGATATCAAACTCATCTGGGCCCATGAACACCCTTCCTGCCCCACATGTTGGATCTAGAGCCTTCAGTGGGTTCTGTGTTGCATGCAGCACAGATCTCATAGCAGCAGGGGCCATGGGTCCTGGAGTGCATGCCATGATACATGTGGTGTCTGCCCCATCTGGACTGCATTGCATATCTGGGATCTGCAACATACACAGTGCCCCTGGTGGCTGCTCCAGGAGTACACTGTACACAGCACCTGCTTCAGCCACTTCAGGACCTTTGCTGTATCCCAGATGAGCTGGAGTAGGCACTGTGCATGGTGCATGCCCCAGAGCTCCTGGGATGAGTGCCATGTGCGGCGTGTATCCCAGTCTCTGCGCTTGGGGCCAGTCCTGGTCAATTCAGACCCAGGGGTGGCACTTGGGACTGGATAATGGGGGCCCACAGGTTTATATTTGACACTTCTGATTTACTAGGAGTAAATTTAGCTAGTGACAAATGGGTAGCTAGTAGTTAATTAGAAGCTATGTTGGGGCGAGTATTTTTGTATTTGGAGATTTATTTTTTAAAAAGGTTCTAGAAAACGTGCTTTAGATCAGCGTTTCTCAACTGGTGGGTCACGACCCAGAAGCGGGTCTCAAGAGTATTTGAAAGGGTCACAAGGAAGTTCCAGAAAAACCCACGAAAGCATGGGTTTCCTCTTGCAGGCTGGCAGAGTTCCAGCCTGCAAGTGCTGCTTGGGACGATTGGAGGTAGTGGGCACACATGCATCTGTGCTTGCAGACACACGTGGCCAGTTATACAGCAAGGCTAGGTCATGGGAACAGCCCCAGTGCTGGGCGCAAGTAAGTGTATGGGGAGCGGGGATGGAAGTTCAGGGGACTGTCGTGGGTGGGGAGTGCCTGTGCGTAGGCGCTGGGAACAGTGGCTGGATGTGGGGCTGCAGCAAGATACGGGGAGCAGCAAGGAGAAAGGTACTTGGCCCTTCAGTGGCATAAGGAGGCAGGGGCAGTTCTTGCAGCAAGGAGCTGCGTGCCTGGGCAGGTGGCATGGGGCCAGTGCCCATACATCCAGGGGCCTGTACTCACTGCTTGTACTCAGGCCCAAGCAGGACAGAAGTAGCTGGGGGCCCCCTCCAGCAGGGCTGGGGTGGGGGCAAGGAACTGCAGACCGAGAGTGAGGGGCACCAGCATGACCTGGGCGACAGGGGGTTGTGGCTTGGGGGTGAGGGGGGCTCTGGCTTGGAGGTGGGGGCACCAGCAGAGAACTTTGGGTCAGGTACTGGCAGGGCCAGGGGGTGTGGGTTGGGACAAGCCATTGATCTTGGCAAATGGGTCCTGGAACGGAAACGGTTGAGACACCCACTGCTTTAGAAGATGTAAAGGCAACCAACCAGGTGCAGGAGAGAACTATATCAAGATAATTTAAACTTACACCCCATGTTCTTAAACACCTTTCTTTATATGAAAAAAGCTCCTGGGCGTTTAAGAATATGAGGGTAATCTTAGCCCCTAAAAAAGCTCCTGGGCGTTTAAGAATATGAGGGTAATCTTAGCCCCTAAAAATAGGTAAGGTTGAAAACTCACCCTTTAATCTGCGAGGAGCTTGTGTTTTGTCTTGACATGGTCTCTTTATCATAAGTTTTCTTCAGTTGATTCAGTATATAATGAAATGAGTAAGAATTTCTTCTTTACTCTTGTTACAGTACAGTTCCATTAAGTTTTAATGAAATCTACAACATAAGACCAAGTTAAAAAATATCCAATCCGGTGTCTTTAGTATAAGGCAGTGGTGGGCAGTTTGTTTTTTTGGGGGGTTGGGGTGGGGGGGACGATTTAAGGAGTTTTGGTGAGCTGGTGGGAGGGGGTGCAGGCAGGGTGTAGTCAGTAGGGTGGATGGACCATAGACAGGCAAGGAGTGGCATCCAGGAGCAAGACAGCTGGAGCTGGGGACAATGTGGGGCCCAGGGCAGAGCTGTGATCTGCTCCCTGCACGTCCCTGTGACAGGCATTGGTTCCACAGGCAGGGATGTGTGGGGAGTGGATTGTGGCTCTGCCCTGGGCCCTTCCCCCACACTTTCACCACTCCACAGTCTCTCCTGCCCACCATGCTCCAGGACAAGGCTCTCTATCTGCCTGCAGCCCCATCCCATCGGGGGCTGGAGGCAAGGGACTGTGTGCCCTGCCTGCAGGGCTCCTGGGCTGGTCTCTGTAGAAACCTTGCCCACCTGCCCAGACAGAGCAGGGTTCCCCAGCAGGGGGCCAGGTCTGGCAGGCGGTGGCCCCACAGGCAGGCAGCAGCCTGAAGGAGCCACTGTTGTGGGGACTGCTGGGAAGCTGGGGTTAGCAGTCCGCGCCTCGCCACATATCTGGGGGCAGTAGGACCAGCTGCATGTGCCACAGCCCAGACTGCCCCCCATGCCTGGGCTGGGCAGGGCCAAGGGGCTTGCCATGGGCTGGATTTATTATGCAAGCCAGGTGTTGTCCACCCCTTGTATAAGAAATGCTTATTCAAAGTCCCTACGATGTTACTAGTTTTACTATTGGGCCATCCTAGTCAACTATTTAATTTGTGGGTAAGGGGGTATGAAACTTCTATTAGTAAGTATCATTGCTTTTTTTTTTCCTTTTTAATACTATATATGTATGTGTTTATATAAGTATAATATAAAGACTTTGTAAACACAGTATTCAGTATTATGCCATCATGGTGATTGGATTGTATTGGAAATAGAGGGCTTATTCCTTGCAGTATTACTGTGTGTGCAAGACTTGCATGCTTTGCCCTAATTACTGGTCTTTAGTGGCATCAGTACAAATTTTCTCATTATTTCTTTGTGGGTTTTTTCTAGAATATGCTTTTAAGGCTATAAACCAGGGTGGCCTTACATCAGTAGCTGTTCGTGGGAAGGATTCTGCAGTAATTGTAACTCAGAAGAAAGTCCCTGTGAGTAGTATCTTTTAACAGTCATTTCTCAATGTTGGTTCTGTGGCCCTGAAGTAGAAACCATCTTGTTGCCATTCAACCGGTCCTGGTTTCCTTCTTCTTTGGTACTCAGGCATCTTATCCATCACTGCAGTATCATGGTACTTTATTTTCTTTCTGTAGATTTCTAAACCACCCAAGAACATATCTCTTTAGCTATTTCTGTGCTCATAGGTGACCCAGGTGATTGACACTGGGATTTGCATACGTGTCCCCATCCTGCTTAGCGTGGTTTTAGTATGTTCACACTCTTCCTGCTCTTGCTTGTAAATGTCTGGAGGAGTATCCTCTGGTACTTTTGCTAAAATGTTCTAAGTTTATTTTCCAGGCAGGAGTGTCAATTGCAGGTGACCTTGTCTGTTTTGGTGGGAAGCTAGGGTGGGATGAGAAACAGGGGAAGAGGATTGGAGGACTGTTAGCAATCAAGTGATGTAACCTATGTCCTCACTCACTTTGAAGAAGATAAGTTTATCTGTGATAACTGATGACATTTCCAATTTATTCCCCATCTTAAAGCACCTCAAAATCTGGATTATAAAGATTTTTGTGCAGGTGGAAAGGATTAAAGTTGAAACTAATTCTGTAGTGTCAATGTATCTTTGGAAGCCTGGGACCATTCAGAAACACATTTTTTCTCAGTCCTTCCATTCTCTTTTCGTATACTGGTTACAGAACCCTGACCTGTAAACCAATCAGTGATACAAAGAATAAACATCTGACAGCACAGTGGTGCTGGGCAAAAAACCCCCATGAAAAACACTTTAAAATTAGGAATGGAATATGTTAGGGGATCAGATTTTTGTGCCCTCAAAAGGTCCTTGTGCGGGCCTCCTCCCAATCCCATCCATGTCGCCATGTGCGGGCTGGGAGCGATCCGGGCCCTTTTTCGCTCTGCGCGGGCTGTGGCCAGCAGCCCGGGCATGCTGGATTGGAGAGAACGGGCGACACGCTAGAATTAGGCACGGACGCGTAATGGTTGATTCAAGATTGTTTACTTACACCGAAGATGGTCGCGGTGTAGGCTGGACAGTTTCCCAGGCACAGCTCTGATTAAATCCTCGTTTGAGGACTACGACAAGCTTGGGTCTCTCTCACGAAGTTTGCTAGGCTCCGTGGATCCTTTTATTCACTCACTCACACGAAGTTTGCTAGGCTCCGTGGGTCCTTTTGTGCGCAGGGAGAGGGATATGTCGAGGATTGTGAACGGCGACGGGGAGAGGCTAGAGACTGATCAGACCTCTGTTGCCTGCTTGAAATGCGCTGGTGTCCAATAGGCTCCGCAGCGCTTAGAGATCTTCACACAGCGTGAAGTCTCCTCCTCCTGGTGTTCGTGGAGTCCTCCCTTGTGGGGGTTCTCCTCGGAGTTCTCCAACTTGGGCGGAAACCACTCAAGCTTTTTATATGGCTAGCAAGCCAATCGCTAGCCGCCACGTGTGAATAATTTCACGCAAGCCAATAATGGGGCTCGAATTAGAATACAAATGGCGGGAACTCTTTGCAACGAGCATTTCTTAGCTGCAAAGAAGAAATGCACACTGCAAAGAAAGCTACGAATTGGCGGGAAAATAATTCAGTGGTGCCAAAGCACACACAAAAACAAAAATCACACCCTTGGGTTGTGACAGTCCTCAACTTCCCTAGTCAAAAACTGGCATCCATCACCACTTCTGGCAAAGATTGCTAGCTATCTTCTCCTTCCTTTGCTATTTATTATAAGTGAGCATGCAAATGCAGAAGTAAAAATTCCTCTCACTTTGCTGCAGAAACAAAACACCAGGAGCACATAGTGGGAGATTAGTGGTTCTGTGCAAATATGATATACTGGAACTCTTTCTCATTCTGTGCTGTGAAGTGTTGGGAAGCAGTTTGAGTCCTAAATTGTAATCCCAGGTTCTTTTTTCTGCATTATTTGTATTTTACTCTTGTATGTAAAAGGAGGGGTTCTTTTTTATGCTGCTTCATTATTTTTGTTTGTTTCTTAGGACAAACTGTTGGATTCTAGCACAGTGACCCACTTATTCAGAATTACTGAAAATATTGGATGTGTTATGACAGGAATGACAGGTATTTAATTTATCTCTTATTTAGATCATTGCAGTTTTGTAACAAACCCTGTTGTGTTTGTTTCATGTTTTGATATTTGCAAACTCGAGACTCTTAAATCCAGGCTTAGGAGTTGCTTTTCTACAAACTGGCATTTAAAGAAGTTGTTCTTACCAATTTATTGGATCAAGACTTCTTAAGCTACAGCCTGGAACATGTTATTGCTAGCACTAATCAGCGATGCAGTGTGTTGTGTGTTTAAGGATTGTCTCAGCTTGTTTAGTGGAAGATGAGAAACAAGTAAATACTTTGTCTTTTATATTAGCTGATAGCAGGTCCCAGGTGCAAAGAGCCCGCTATGAGGCTGCTAACTGGAAATACAAGTATGGTTACGATATTCCAGTGGACATGCTGTGTAAAAGGATTGCAGATATTTCTCAGGTCTACACACAGAATGCTGAAATGAGACCTCTTGGATGCTGTAAGTAATAAGGTCTATACTTTGCTCTGTATCTTCGTTAAACTAATTTTCTGCATATAATTTTTGATATCTGAAGAATTCTCACCAATTCTTCATATTGTATAAAATGTGAGTGTTATGTGAGGAGCTTTGGGGTTTGACAGTTTGAGTAGGGATTAGAACCTGGTTTCTATCCTTGATTCTACCATTAACTATCTGAACCCAGGAGTAGTGTTATAGCCATAATGACTCATGCAGCAATATGCAGTAAGCAAGATTCTGTTATTAAATAAGTTGTCTTCTCAGGCAAACCACTTGACCTTTCTTTCAGTTTACCCTTCCCTAACATGCATGAAACTACTTCATCTTGGCTTTATGGGGCTGCTTCATCTGCAGGTTTTTATAAGGTGCAAAGTACTGCTTTTGTTAAAATAATGTTCTCACACATGTTTAATATGTATTTGCAAAGAGTACTTCAGAAACATTGAATTATTTGTGCTAATTATAATAATAAGTATCAGTACTTCCTGCTAGTCTTTGTTTATGGTTGCAACACAATTTGCATTAAGCTTGCAGCTATCTGAAAAGTTCATCTTTTGCACTGAAATTTTCTATGCTTCGCAAAGTGATTTTTTTTCTTTTTAATTTGAATAAAGAGTCATATATTTGAGTTACGAAAGAACAAGTGAAAACTATAGAAATTGCTCATTGTATCTTTTATCAAATGTACAGCAAATAGTTAACTTATTCCTTGACATAAATGTAACCTTCAAGATCTTTTTTCATAGAGGATGGTTTTGATTTGCCTTGTTTTCAAATTGCATAAATAGTCATACAGCAGTTATGCTAACTCTACAAGCATAAGGGGACATAGATACATTTAGCATGTATTCACTTTTCAATTCCAGGGACTAAAAAGCTCATGTAATCATCAAATGGGTTTGAGTTAAGATGGGATTCATTGGTGCTGTCTCTTTTTTCCATTTTATTTTATTTTTTTTATTAGAAATGTAAATGGGTACATTCATATAAATGTCTTCTACATTTACTGACTACACAGTATGACTTTTAAGTGATGGTTCCAGTGCTGTCTGATAGTATATTTTCCCACATACCTTATACACCTTGTTTCTGGAATGCAGAGAACAATATTTTTCCAGAGACATGGTGTGGAGCTGGCTTTTTCATGAAGGCACAGCACAGTGCTATAAAATAGCTGCTAGGTCTCTCTCCCAGCCAGCAAACATGGGGGAGTGCTGTCCAGCATTAAACCTTTCATAGCTGCTCTTGAACTGGAACCACTTCTTGGCAAGCTTTATCCCATAACAAGAATATGGGGGATATGTAAGATTATGGTTTATGCCAATAACTAGGAAATAGAACGTTTTACAAATATATGTTGCTGTTCCTATACAGCATGCGTAGGGACCTGCTGGCTGAAATCGCATGTGATTTTCATGGGACCTGTGATTTTGGGCGGGCTCCAGAAAAAACGGCTGGCTCCACAATTTTGGCAGACTTGCTGCAAAACAAAACCAAAAAAAAACTTACTGGCAAGCAGAGAAGAGGCTGGGAAGCCCTGCAGTCTTAGAGCAGGAGGAGAAGGCAGGGGGTGGGGTTGGTGTTGGTGTGGCCACCACCTTGTCCCTGCCCCCACCCCCTGCCTTTTCCTCTGTGCTCCAAGACTCCAGGGCTTCCCTGCTTTTTCTCTGCTTGCCAGGAAGTTTGTTGGGGGGAGGGGGGGGTGTCTCTTTTGCAAGAAGTCCATCAAAGTTCCAGAGTCCACTACTTGGAAATGGTCCAAAACCATGTCTGAATTACCCAGATTAAGCCTTGGGAAGCCATTAATCCACACTTAATCATATGGATGAATGGCTTCCCTGTGCTTAACCAGGATAATTAAGCTATAATTTTGGGCCATGTGGCAATCTGCAGGGAGGGGTGGGACTGCTGGAGCCCCTCAGCCAATTGGGTGGGAGGGAAGGGGGGAGCACCACACTCAGTTTACGAAATTGGCAGCTGGCCCCAGGACCTACCCAAGAAATTGACTGGCTGCTGCCTCTGAGTTTGGTAGACCCTGAGACATGCAGTCTTCCCAAAAGTTATCCCTCCAAAATTGAGGTGCATGTCTTGAACAAGCTATTGTAGTACTGTGGTGCCATCTGCTACACTGATATACATCTCTCTTGCTTGCTGATAAAGGAAAAAAAAGGGAAGCCAACAGCCATCTTGTAGCACAGTGTCTTAATTCCTTTATGCCTCTATGCAGTGAAGCTCCGATGAGAAAAGGAAGCTTCTCTGCTTAAGGCGTGTACCCCAATTTGGGAGGGCTGGCTTTTGGGGGAAGTTGTATTGGAGTAAACAAAGTACTTTTGTTAACCACTTCTGTTTTCTAGTTAAATGTGGAGTCCAAAGTGTTATAGAATATACAGGATAAGCAGTACAGCTGAGTTAACCTTGTTACCATGTATTTGTATTTCCTGACTTTGGTTCTGTGAATGCTCAATGCTGCCTAACAGTTTTTCTCTTTAATGAGTGGTCCAGTTTGGATGGGATTAGAAATCTAATTCACCAGGTACGAAATTCAGTTTAAAGCAATGAAATGCCATTGAGAGGTATGTTAGATTAGAGAGTAGGGAGAAATGTGTTCTTCAGAATAGTATACCAAAGAAAGTATACCACAATACCTGGCCTGTTTCATACTAGAGGAGGAGAGTCTTCATCCTAAATCTAGAATCCTCAATCAGTTGAAGTCTCAATGTTTTCAGTACTGCTCAATAAATGTAAATTTCCTTCTCTCTTAAAGGTATGATTTTGATAGGTGTTGATGAAGAGCATGGTCCTCAGGTATACAAGTGTGATCCTGCAGGTTACTACTGTGGGTTCAAGGCCACAGCTGCAGGAGTCAAACAAACAGAGTCAACCAGCTTTCTTGAAAAGAAAGTAAAGAAGAAATTTGACTGGACTTATGAGCAGACAGTGGAGGTAAGCCACTAAGAGGACACCAGAGTAGGTAAAAAGTGTTTATATTTTTGCTGTATGACTTCACATTGTGAAGAAATCTTTAGTAAGCACTTCCTTTTTTGTGATATGGTTGATGTCACTGCCTTGGTAACTAGCTATTTCCATTTTTAAAGTCTTTAAAACATTGTGCTTTGAGAGAATAATCAAAGTTTAGTACCTGATTCTGCTAAATGCTTATCACTATTTCAGAAGGTTTTTCCTGTAGATAAATGGGGTAATTGCATTGTTAACTACTATTTAAGATGCTTCATTCTGTGCATAATTGGAAAGTCAGACGCAGCAATATTATTTGATTAAAATGGAGTAAGCCATTTGTCATCTCAATACCTACAGACTGTAGGGTCCATTTAAAAATACTCTTAATCTTCTCTCTCTGTCTTCTGGATTGGACATAAAGTTTTCCTTCCTTTTTTAAAAAGAAAAAAAGCAGTGAAATCTAAACTTTTATCTTCCCTTCCTGTTCTTAAAATGTTCCCTCTTATGCTGGCACAGTGGAATAAAGTGTTTTACTTGATTTATGAATTTTCAGTACTCCTGGCCTGGTGCTGCACATTCACCATTGCCATTTTTTGTGCTGCTTGCTCAAGATCCTCCCCTGTGGAAACCAAAAAATTCTGTCAGAAGAACTTGAATCCCCACTCTATGGAGCAAGTCATAAATAATTTTTCAGCTTTTGAAACAATCTTTCTGCTGAAAAGTGCTTTAAACTAGACAAATTACATTCTCAGTTGTTACTGTTACAAGCTGGTGTTGTGCCCCATGCCTCTTCCAGCAGTAGTGACACAACTACCATCGTGGTCAGGGATGCATCTCTTCAAATATAAGGACATAACGTTATAGGGCTACCAGTAGCAAAACTGACTGGATGATGTGGATTTTCTGACCTGGATTTGGCCGGAGAGAGGCAGGATTTACTAAATGTACATACAGTATATATTAAATTAAGGTATAGCAATTACATTGCTGCCAAAGGATACCAATATAAGCTGTTATGATGCAGCTGTTATGCCTGCCTGATTCTGTAGCAATAGAAATACAAGGTTTTCAGAGCTACTCCAATTTTAACTCTGCTTTATCTAGGGCTAAATTAGATTGATTTAGCTTGCTTATACTTCTGCAGGCTCATGCAGCTGTAACAGAGGGCACTGACAAATGTGCAGGTCCCCACTGTAACTCATGGTGCTTTGCAGGAAGTGCCATGACTTATGGTGTTTCACCCTGAGCCAACAGTCATTCACTGTTGGGTCTGGGGGGTTGGTGGATTGAGCTCCAGTTTGGACTGTCTGCAGCTGCTCTCCCCCAGCACCCTTTATATTTCTAATGTATAGCACTGCAGTGTTTTAGAAGCAAACATTTAAATTAAACAAGTTCCAATTCCAGTCAGTTAATGGAAATATTAATTTTGTGTTTAGGGATCTGTGAAAAGTATTATCAAAATCTGTGCTTTATGTTGACAATTTTCACTATCCCTTCGAAAGTTTATGCATCAACCAGGAACCAGGAGTGTGCAAAGCAAAAGCAAGAAATAGGATGCTATTTTGGTCCTTTCTTAGTCTTGTAAGGCTTTAAATGATAGTGCAGTAGGTATGTTTTGAATAAAATATTCATGATTTTTTTTCCTCTGACCCTGCACTGAAGGCCTTGCCCTCTGTTAATCACTTTTGTTAACAATTAATGTCATTCCACAAAAATAAGCATTCTTATGCATTTAATTTAAATAAGAAAATGTTCATTGAGGGTTCTGGGTGCCCTAACATACCACTAGTAATACAGTTAAATATCAGCAACATCTGAAGAACTTGGCCAGTTAGTTCATTCCTTCCCATTCATCTGTATGGATGTATACCCTCCACATTAAGATTATGACCTTACAGCAGGGTTATGCAAGAAAATATAAATTTGTAAAAGAACAATTTAAAAAGCACCTGGAATAGTAAAAACCGAAGATAAGGTAATAGTCATGATTAAATAAATCTTTTAAAATTGCCCCAGGTAAGATTTGTTGTTTTTTTTAAACCCACTCACACACTTTGGGGGTTTCTTGATGAGAAAATGCAAGATGCACTTGTTATGGTGTTCTTGTAAACCATGCTTTCAAGGGAGGAGAAGAGACTGAATTTTATAACATGAACAGTAGATAGAAAATGATTTTCTGCAAGTGTTTTAGAGAAAGGAAGGAGTTAACTTGAATTTGAGAAGCTAGACGTGAAAATATTAAGTTCAACTTTGAAAAGCAAGTGGTTAAACATTTTTCTTTTCCTATCTTACTTTTAGACAGCAATAACCTGCCTGTCTACTGTTCTGTCCATTGATTTCAAACCTTCAGAAATAGAAGTTGGTGTTGTTACGGTTGAAAACCCGAAATTCAGGTAAGTCCAAACAACTTTATTAATTAGCATCTGCTCTTCCAGTTGCACTAATGGCTAATTTTAACTTTGTCCCCTTTTATACAAGTAGACTTTAAAACAACAAAAAAGAGAGGATGGAAATGTAAATAAGTAAGTAGGGGTGCACCGCTAAAGATATTTTGGGCCGATACCAATGGCCGATTTATTAACGAGCCATACTGGCCGATTACTGATCCGATTGCCAATATACAGCCTGGTAGCTTGGCGAGCAGTGTCTGGCTGGTAAGTCTGTTGCGGGGGGGAAGGGGCAGGAGGAGGGGAAGGGGGGAAGGTAGATCGAGGCCCCCCCACAGTGAGGGAGAAAGGAGGCTGGGGTAGGTCCCCTGGATCTGTGCTCAGGGTGAGGGTGGGATGCCACTTCAGGCTGGGGTTGAGGGCAGCACTGGGCTCTTCCCAGTGTGGGGGTTGGCCCAGGGCAGTGCTCAGAGCATGTGGAAGCCCTGGGAGGGGGGCTGCAGGGGGGGCTGTAGCCACCCCAGAATTTGCTGTAGCCCCTCAGAACCCCCCAGCCCAGCCCTGTACCTCCCCCCTGCCAGGAAGAGCCTGGCACCACCCCTGGTCTCAGCCCACAGCAGCAGCCCACCTTTGCCCCATGCACAGATCCGGGGGGGAGGTGCATGCCCCCCATGCCTCCTATGGGGGTGGACGTAGCATCAGGAGCAACCCTCCCCTCAGCCCCGGACAATCCACTAGTGGCTCCGTCCTGTATCCTGCCCCAACTGGGCAACACCTGTCTCTGCCCCAGCTCTCCTCCTCCCTCATTGTGGGGGACCTCAATTGCCCCTTCCCTCCTGCCACCCCTTTCCCCACAACAGACTTACCAGCCAGATGCTGCTCTCCAAGTTGCCAGGCTGGTTGTGTGCATGCTGTCGCTGTGCACATGCACGTGGCATTTATCGGCAACATTATTGGCCACATTAGCCAAAAAAAAAGCTGATTTGCCAATAATGTCAATTTTCCTTTTATCAATGCCGATACGATATGGACTGATATATCGGTGCACCTCTATAAGTAAGCCCATTTGTCACTTCCAAAGTTTGGGGTGGAATAGAATTTGACTTTCTTTTTCCCTTAGCAAATGTCTTGGTTTTTTTTTAATTTGTGATGGCTCTGATTTGAGGCCCAGTCTATGCTACGAAAGTCTTGTGTTTTTTTTGTTTTTAGTTTAAAGGAAAAAAAGCTTTAAGTGGCGATCTGAAATCTTTTGGTGTATAGTACAGACAGATTTAGTACATTCAAAAAAACAAATTGCCCCTGACCTGTAGTCCTCCCCATTGATACTGATCGTGGTGCTCATGTACTCTTAAGAGTGTTTTGCAGTGGTAAACTGTGTCTCTATTAGGTGGTAAATAGAGTTGAAAAATACTGTTTATTAATACATGTTACTATTTCTAAAAAATAGAATTCCTTGTATAAATGATCTTTGACTTCTTCTTGAAGAGTCTGTAGATCGTGACTTCTCTAGCACATAGTTAATACGTTAATGGTGCATGTAGTAAAAATACAGTTTAAATTGTTTAAACAAACAAGTTTCAAATTGCTTGAAGAGTTAAGGGCTGTCAGTGCCTTTGACTCTGCTGGCAAGGCCTTGGGTCTCTTCCTTCCCTGATCCTGTGTAGGATTTTGCAGTTCTTGGTTCTTTGGCTGGGATGCAGCTCCCTGTATACTAATCATATGGATTTGGTTCCTCCATGTCTTCCACTTGGGACTTAAGACGAGGAGTGACTGCAGTGACTGAAACAGCCTTTTCAAAACCAAAATATTTTTAAATCT